TGTGACACCCTCTTCTTCTGGCCAGGAAAGAGAGTAGTTAAAGTGCTTTCTGTTTCTTCCTCCTCCCCCTCCTCCAGTTCCGTTGAAGGCTAAAAACACACATGAAAGTGAAACTGAAATTTCAGTTGCAACAGAAAGCCCGGAAAATCCACCAACAGAAAAAAAATTGCATAGCATCCTCAAAACCCCATAAAGGCATTTTAGAGCAACCAAAACGACTGAAGTGATTATCAAATCTAGAGAAATAAATAAAAACTCTGTGTGGTACCTGCTTAGCTTGTCTCCCTTTGTCTTCCATCTTCACCTCTTTGGATTCGTTAAATATCCGCAGACACTCCTCCATCGGGTCCGAGTCATACTCCATCTCATCCTGCAGACAGGAGTAGTCCACTGCTTCACCACCATCATCATCATCATCCACTTCAGAATTATCTTCCGATGATGATGTATCTTCAGAAGTTTTCCTTTTATTATTCATGATGCTTCCCCGTTTAAAAGCAGAGGCCGACTTCCTCACTATCCTCTCGTCTTCCTCATCATCCTCTTCAGCACTCTCAGCACCAAACAAGTCCATGTGGCTCAGATTCCTCTGTTTGGTCTCACTTGCCTCTTTGTGATCAAGGACTAAGATCTTTTTTTTGCTTTTATCTTTAGTGCTGTTGCTGCTGCTCCCATGGCTGCTTTTCTTTTTGCCCTTCTCCTTTGTGCTGCTCTCAAGTTTTCCGTTCATCTGGTCTTTGAATTTGGACGGCACCTTATCGGTTTTCACAGGCTTGTCCATTTTGGGCTTCTTGATGTTGCCACTCCCTCTATCTTTTTCCTTGTGGCTATGTTCACTCTTTATCTTAACTATCTTCTTGTTCTTTTCATCAGTACTTTTTGACTCAGATCCGTCTTTCCACACCTTTTCCTTGGACTTACTGATTCTGTCCTCATTCTTACTTTGGTTCTTGTCTTTTTTACTTGAATTCTTCGAAGTCTTGTCGGCACTTGAACTTTTCCGCCTTTCTTTTTGACTTTTCTTACTGGATTCCTTCTCCGCTTTTTTCAGTTTATCAGATTTTATATTTTTCGACTGACTCACAGGCGTCTTTTTGTCTATCTTTTTGTTTGTCCTGTCCACATCATCCGATCCGCTCTGTGAGAAAACCTCATCAGTTTTAGACACCCGATTTACTTGCTGTCCCATCGCACCTGACTCTCGTTCCTTTTTCAAGCTGATGTTGATCCCCTTGCGCTGCATTCGACTAATGGATGTTGGACGATACTCTGTCCCAGAACTTTCCTCATCGGATTCAGAGAAACTTGCAGTGTACTTCGGGACATCTGCTTTAGGAGACAATGACCTTGGTTTCTTTGCCGTTGGAACATATTCCTCATCTTCCCCTTGTTTTTCAGGGTAAACCCTCTTTCTCCCCTCTCCCTCTGAACACAAGGTCTTTTGTTCTTTAACAGCCAGCTTAGCCGAATAGTTCGAGAGAGGGTCATACTCCATGTCCGTGGTTGGTTTGGAATTATCCAGAGTGTATTTACACTTTACACGGGACGGTGGCGGAGGTAACACCTTTTTAATGCTTGTTTTGGAGACAGCAGTGGGCACATATTCCAGTGCATTGGTACTGCTGTTGTCTGAGTCTAAAGTGTATTTGCTGGAGCGAGAGGATGGGGTGTATTCACTCGCTTGGCCCATTTGATAGCTCCCAGGATCGTAGCCCTGATGGGATGATGCAGTGGGTTTCGGTCTCTTAACAGAGTTTGTGGTCGGCTCATATTCCTGATCGCCGATTTGAGAAAGCTTCTTCTTGTCCCTTTCCATCTCATTGCGAACAACCTCAATGGCCCGATTGACCAACTCCAGCTCCACAGTACCCAGGTCCACATCCTGTCCCGCCAACAGGCTCGACGGTGGCTCCACATTATAATGTTCACCTGGTCTTACAACCTCTGGACTGAATGGATCATATCCTTGATCTGTAAATAAGTCACAAAAATCAACCACAGAATCAAAACAATAATAATGCATCCTATATGTACACACACATGCAGTTAATTGCAGAAATTTCATAAAACAAAAACAAACATTTCCCAGTTACTACTTATTCTTGAGGCATCAAAGGTTTTTCTGACAACAGTAAAAGCTATAGAAACGGTTTATTTTTAATACATAAACTGGACTGTCTGACATATGACAGCACTATTCTGGGGTTGTTTTAGTGTCTTTGTTCCGCAGCAGAAAGCTTTTGTGCATTTAAATGTACATGTACATGAACCCGAAGTATGTACTTGAACAAAAGGAAAACATGACACCATAAAAACATTTTAATTCACCGTTTGGACTCGCAGAAAGCGCTTTAGTCTTTTTGATGTCGTATATCCCAGAGGAGGCTCGTCTTTGTTTGCTGTGTCTGAAGTGACAGTAGGGTCTGCTGCACCCATCTGCACAGGCTTTTCCACTATTATTCTCAGAATAAAACGGACAGTCAATCCCACGGAAAAAACCCGTAGATCTCAACATCGCGGTTCATAACCAGTGTCACTTTGTATGCCTTTTAACTGGTATGTTTTTGCCACTGCATGCGTGGTTATTTGCATATCCGTATGTTGCCACTTTCTTACGGACAACAACAGACTTCCTAAGACGCCATATTTTATGAGCGACAGACGAGCCCAAGGCCCCCAGCGCACGTCGCGCTCTCTACGTAATATAGTTGACCGAATCATCCGCCTGTAAGAACTAGCGTGCTATCTGCGCCACGCTTGTGCAATCGAGCAGCTGCTTTATTTTAAAGGGGTCATATGATGCTTTTTTAAAGATCATTATTTTGTGTATTTGGTGTAATAGAATATGTTGACATGCTTTAATGTTCAAAAAACCCATTATTTTTCAAATACTGTACATTATTGTAGGTCCTCTATGCCCCGCCTCTCTCAAACGCTTCGTTTTCTACAAAGCCCCCTCCTTCTATCTGCGCCACGCTTGTGCAATCGAGCAGCTGCTTTCCTTTAAAGTAGTTTATCTTAAAACATGTTAATACGTTGCTTTAGGCTTTATCTTCAAGCCGTTGGCATCTCTCTCTCTTTTTTTTTTTAATGAATTAGAGTTTCTTTGTGATTTAAGCTGAAGGTTTATAACCGTGGCGGAGTATCAATGCGACTTTATAGGTCAAGCGAGTGTAAAGGAGTGCACACATTGAGAAATGTTCATAACAACTGACACGATACATAGCATGCTTTATTTTAGAAATCGAAAATGGCATTCAATTAAATTTATTCATCCCCGGTGGAGCTTCTTCTGGCTGCAGCAAGCTTGGCGAGGAAAGAGAGAAAAGGTGTATTTTGAAAGCAAAGTAATAGATCCCCTAGACTGGATAATGGTAAGTACTCCGAATGATAACTGCATGGTCCAGAAGCCTTACAAATGGCCGACTGTAAGTTTACAACTCGATTGACAAATACTCAACTTTGTCATTCTTCAACGAAATGTTCTTCTGTATGCTTTTGAGTATACAAAATTCACAGAACTTCTACATACTTTTGAGACGTTAAACTAGTTGACAAGTTGGCCTCCCAACATGACCAGCCATTTAAAAGCAACCAGACAAAGCCAGGGGACCATCCAAGGCCAATAAACCATCTTAGCCTGGTCAAAGTAGTTTTTTTTTATTTTTTATGTAGGGTAATAAGGGAGGGGGGGTAACAGTTTACAAATTACAGTTGTTACCAAGTTAAGTGAAACACTCACCTTATACATACAAATACACATGTGCAAGTGAGCCCAGTAACAAAAGCAATTTGTCCAGTGTGAACATAAACCACAAACACCCCTCATTCAGACACTAGCAAATACAGAAGTGAAACTCTAAACCTACTTACAATGCTTTTGATATGACTTTTATAAAGGTGCATGTAGGGTAATAAGGGAGGGGGGGTAACAGTTTACAAATTACAGTTGTTAGCAAGTTAAGTGAAACACTCACCTTATACATACAAATACACATGTGCAAGTGAGCCCAGTAACAAAAGCAATTTGTCCAGTGTGAACATAAACCACAAACACCCCTCATTCAGACACTAGCAAATACAGAAGTGAAACTCTAAACCTACTTACAATGCTTTTGATATGACTTTTATAAAGGTGCGCACACCTGAATGCAATCTCAACTTTTAATTAGCAGGACATCTTAGCCTATTAGAAACAGGGTGTAATTTCAATTCAGTTGAAATCCTGATTTATCATTGGCAAATTACACAAATTTGAAAACACATCTTAAGTAACAGGTTAGTTACCACTAAACAGTCTCCAGTATCCAATGAAAGAGCATTGGTCATCAGCGAAAGAAAGTGCTCACTGCTCATCTAACACTAGAGGGAGGCATACCATAGCAAGAAGTATGAAGAGGTATGAACCTGTTATCAAAGTGGCAAACATGAGAGCCTGAATTTTAGTTATTTTTATAATAATTCCACATCAATCATTTAACCTAAAATCTTGATATAGAAAATTATTTTATTTCAGTTATTTTTCAAATATCCATTCTAGTACTTTTATAAATATGCTATAAGTTCTGCTAATATCAATAATGTTAATATATACAAGCAAAATTATAATGGCCCTCAATTTATGCACGCTCACACTTGTGAATCTGAGGACTCACAGCAGTGTGATCCAAACAGTTTGTTGACTCCCTCCCTCCGCATGATCATGTCCAGCCCACACTTTCCAGTGGGCTGCTATGCTGCTTAGATCTTCATAGCAGCCGTGTGCTGGCTAACTTTTACAGTGTTTGCACTAGACTCTGTAATGTAGTCGGCCCTGGAAAGTTCAAGTGAAAAATCAGCACTTCTCTAGTGCAGCTCTAGCCTGTTGACGTAGTAAGGTGATGCGCCATGTGACTCATGCTCAGGTGACAGCTACATGTGTGATTATGTCAACAGGATCAGTCACTTTGAGAACCTGTTCTAAGTGATTGATCTTTATTAGAAGTGTCATGTTTGCAGTATCAGCATGTGATATGAGGCTCGTGATTCTGTGTGAACACAGGCAGAGGTTGAGATTGATAAAGTTCAACTTTACAGAAACACTGAAGACAAAACAAGAACACTGTTCAAAGCATTTTATTGCGTTTTTGTTGGTTTGTTTTGTACAAAACGATACAAAATTCTGTCACAACAGTCATAAATTTAGCTTTGTGTGAACTGCAGTCAGCCACATTGTACAGTAAAGTGCTTTTTAAATCAATACCTGTTGCCCTAAATGTGACCCCATTTCAGATTTCCCCCCAATTATTATTTTGGACAAAGTTTGGAATTTGGAAATGGACAAACAGTGCTCTTAATAAGTGTTGCTGACAACACCCCCAAAACAATAGCCTTCGGACTAGAGGGTCATCTTAGAGAGATATATATATATAAAAAAACAATTGTGCACCTGAATACTATTATCCCAATAATCTTTGAGTTGGGGAAAATAAAACAAAGAAACTTCATATTATGATAATTTACACTTGTTTGTAATGGCTAATATTGGGCTGTGTAAAACAGGAACATTGAATGAGAACTTTCTACATCCCCCCCCCCCCCC